ACAAAGATATTTTGTGATCAAGCTATGGAACCTGTAACTCCCACAATGCATATTTTATACAAATGACAACCATTGAAGCACTCATCAAAAGAAAGATACAAGCCCCAGACAGGATAATTCAAAAGCTACTACAAATTGCTTGACAACTGACAACAGAAAACAATCTTCAATTCTACATGGATGGCTTCTTCACAAGATGCAACACTAGAAGAAGGATGGAAATGGAATGGATGGTTCTATCAAAGTTAGGCAATAAAATTATAATCTTCCAAGCAGAAACCCAGGACACCCCCTCTTCAACCAGAGTAGAACTAACAACAATCCTATTAGCAATCAGTATAGTCTGTTCAAAAAAAACAATTAAGGTTTTCACAGATAGTCAAGGTGCAATCAATGCAATAAATAAAACAACACAAAAGGATCAGACCAAAAACTAGAAGCTAGAAAGGCTAAATAAGCTCCTAGTTAGTACAATCCAAGAAATTATTATAATGCAACAAAGCAATATTCAGTGGATAAAAATCAAAGATCCTTCAGGAAACAAGGAAAATAAACAGGCAGACAAATTAATAGCTATTACATTTGTGGACAAATTCAAAGACATCATAAAGATTCAGGAGCTACAGTCCACAAGTAGCAATATAATACTGAGATGGAACCAATCCTTCATAGAATTGCCTTTCAAAATGTTAGAAAGAACTCTCCTGAAGACCAAATAGGCTAGCAAGTGAAGGATATTATGATAAAACTAAATATGGCTCATAGGATCAAAAGTCAAAGAAATAAACTGGAAAATGATCATGTAAATCCTGATACCATCCAAGATCATATTCCTCCAAACTAGCCAAGAGAACCATAGAGACAGAACATTCCATTGAAAGACATGGTCCAATTAATACCCTACACTAACAAATATAAGCATATAGAAATCACAGATATACAAGTCAGCTATATGCATAATTTGTGAAAGACATAAAGAAAAGGATCTACATTCTTTAACTATGGACCAAATAGAACAAGATTATCTGAAAAGTTTACAGCATTTTTGATATGCAAGTACTTAGAAAGGACCAATGACAACAAATAGTTGAAATTCATCCAGAGCAGGTGGAAACAGTTCTTAAACTCAAGTACAAGAACAGGAAGTCAGGTGGGCTTCACGGACCTAATTAAAGGAGTCATCACTTACCAAATGGTTCAAATATCATGGGAAATTACAGGGAACAAGAAAGAGACCAAGATAGCAATAAATAAGGCATCAAAACAACTCTGGCAAGAGAAAAGGAAAATTTAGAGATTAAGGTGAGAATTGGTAGCAGAGTAGAAAAGAACACAAGACATATTCAGAAAAATAAAGTAAGAATGAACAAAGTACAATATCAAAACACTAGGCAAAAAATGCCACAGGATAAGAGAAGAAAACAAGTAATTGCAGAAAACCTATATATAGAACTAACAAATTATAACATGAGGAATATACTTTAAAACAGTTTTAATATTAACTCTCTCTTCCATATAAATATTGGTATTAGTGGAGTCATGATAAACTAACATTCACCTTGAGATGAACTGAAGCAAGTTAATAAATTCTCAAAATACTAAGTCATTAGTTTTTTTCCTATTATAAATATATTTTTTAGCCATTAAATTTGTGTACAATAAAGAAAAAAAAAAAAGAAAAAAAAAAAAAAAAACTCTTTCCTGAAAAATTCCAAACCATTAAAAATTTTCTTATTAGGAAATTATACAAAAACAACTTGTCTCTGCTACCAAGTAGCCATAGTGAGAAAAATATGATCACCTCATGAGAAACCAGAAGCATCAACAAACTAACAACACCAGATTACAATGAAAACAGAATGACAAGAAACAACAAAAGAATTATGAAACTCAAGGCAACAACCCTCACTGTTCAGCTTAGACACACTCTACTTGGCACAAGAATGTTGATCCAGAAGAAGACACTAGAAAGAGTGGTGGAGAAAGAAAAGGAGAAGGTAGCAACCTTTGTATCAGACTACGTGATGGAAACAGAAATGATAACTCAAACAATAGAACCCACAAAGGCTAGAGAGCAAACAAGACTATCGACCCCATTACCATCATCACTATTAGCAATCCTGACTCTCCCATATAATCGATCTAGAATTCACCTCTAAATATTATCGAACAAGCAATCTTTAGTTATGAGGAAGAGGTTCAAGGAAATACACAAGGACCACTCAAAGACACAGAATTTTTACAGACCAAGAGACCAGAAAAAGCCCTCATCGATCCAGACTTAGTATCAGAGCAATCACAGGATAAAAAAATAAAATTTATCAAGCAAAAAATGACAGAGCTACACTCCCTGAAACATGTGCGATATGAATATCCAACCAGTTATTCAAAGATCGCTGCCATTTTTGACGATCAGAAAGACTTACACAAGGCATGTGAGATCAATATTACAGATAATGAACTTGCCAAACTTAGAATAATCACCTATCCAGGATCACACGAGAGCAAATCCTGAATCATTAGAGTATGGAATATCCAACAACATTTTTCTAAACCAGATTTAGCAGAGTTCTTCGACAATCAAATCAGTATTGATTACATAACCATACAAAGAGCAGGCCCTTTCCAATCAGCTAACATCACCTTTACAAACATGTCGGACTATGTGGAAATCAGCCAGGAGTGGTCAATTGGACGTGAATATCACTTTTGCAGAATATTTCCCTTCTACAGAATACACAAAATTAAACAAGAAAGAAAGCATTTAAGTGCAACACTTACTTAATTACCCTCTAACACAGCAGCCTCAGTTCTGACAGTAATCATTACCAGCATGAAAGCAAAATTATGCTACATCTCTGGGATAACAACAATCAAGCCAAAAGACTTGCTATCTTCACTTTCGAGACACAAGAAGATCCTTAAGCGACAAAGACAACTGCATTCCTGATTGGAGAAATACAGACACAATGGGTCAATCGTGAAACCAGACTATGTCCCACATGCAGATCATCAAAACACAACTGGTCTTTATACCCAGAGAAACCAGAAGTTACACCACACAGACAATATACCAACTGATTCAACAACCCAAGAACACCACCAAGAACCAAACCCATAATTACATCAAACAGTAGATTCAGGAACCCAACCACTTTAACAATTCCAGAAGCTATGCAAACATAGTTAAATATGTAGGCAACACTACCAACTTCCCTGTAGAAGGAAACCTTTACAAACCACTCCTCTCCTTGCAAAATGAAATCCAGGAAATAAAAGTCTCACTTAGAGATCTAAATGAAAGGGTAGATGCCCTAGAACAGGAGTGCATCAAAAGATACTCAGAAAGTGTTAATGAACTTATAAAAGAATTAGAAGAGAATCCAGCAGACAAGATGATAATGGAGATGACCCCAAACATCAACATCCAGGACATCAGAGCATAACAAGAAGCATATTAAAAACAACTTAACAAAATGAGCACCACGATGGAGGAAGCAATTAATCTATTTAAACTTTCACAACTAGTAAGCTCATTAGAATCCAACTTATCACAATAAAATGATAGAACAAATATCAGGGAAAAATCCATTGAGGATAGAAGGATCAATTGACAACACATTTGGCACAACACTTCAACATCAAACCAAATCAACAAATATAGCAAATACCTTAAACACAGATAATAACATAAGCAACAGATGGAAGATCGTTACAATAAATGTCAGAGGTATCAACGAAGAGAATAAACAAATTGCACTCACAGCCTTTGCAAAAGAGGAACAATACAACATGTTAGGAATCACAAAAACATGGCTACTACACAATCACAGATGGATAAAGGAAGAAAATGAATATGCAATATGGATAACAAGGGACACAGAATACCAAACAAGTATAGGTGTTGGAATAATCATCAAAAAAGAATGGGCAACACACATATACAAATCTGGAACCTGGCAAGACAGAGATATCTGCATCTATATGGCCTTTAAGGCAAAAATCAAGTATAGAATAATTGTGATCTACAACCTCTCCAACCCTACACAAAGAAGAAATAAACACAACTTGATTCAATTGCTGGAGAAAATCATTCAGGAAGCGACAAACAAAAACTTTTTCATAATAGTAATGGAAGACTTCAACAAAATAGCAGATAATAAGCTAGACAGAACCACAAATAAAAAGAAACCAAGCATCCACAACAGAGAGATAATCAACACACTTATTGCCCTCGACTTCACTGACATATACGGATACTTAAACCCATACACAAGGAGCTATACATATATTAGAAGCAAAAGTGTATACAGCAGCAGACTGGACTACATATGGGTATTAAGAGCAATGGCTTAATATATTACTAGCACATTATACACATCACTAATAACAACCATAGCTACAGACCACAAGATGGTTACAATCATCACCAGCATTCCACATCAATACTGCAACAAAGTTGCAAACAGAAAAACAGCAATACAAAGTAAATTGACTATGAGTAAAAATGGGTCTCTAAAAGGGGAGACAGGGACATAAGTCAAATGTTCCTTATTAGGAAATATTAAAAATTTTAAATTAATAACTATAAAAAAACTACACACAATTGTTCTCTATTATCCAAATTATTGATTTATAGCATTTCCTGATTCTTGTCCCTATTGAAGTGAAGATTTATAAATTTTGTTTCTCAAAAAAGAATATAAGTGATCTGCAAAATTTTATATGCTAAATACTTTAGGGACCCATCATTAACTACGAAAACTCATCCAACAAATAATGAAATGAATTCAAGAAGGTAGTGGAGGAAAAGGCCACACTGCCCCTTCATGAAAACCTCACACACTGGAAGAGCTCTGAAACTACTTCAAAAACACACCGCTGGAAGCCAGCAAAAGGTACCTCAAAAAACGAAGGAAGAGCAGTAACATCAAGACAATTAACATATTCAAATACAGAGACAAGATGAGACTTACACTCTTAATAGGGAAGACCTATAGAACATACAAAGATATTTGAACAACAACACACCAGACATTGTAATAGAGGAAAAGTTAGCAAGGATAATAGGAGCTATAAAAAAAAATGGAAAGAGAATTGATAACCCACCAATTAACAGATACAACACCTCCAACACTCACATTCAACAGTACCAGTAACTGAAGGAATTATAGGAACTTTAGAAGATAGAAAACTAGACAGCTCAACAAGCAATAAAAAGAGAGAAAATAAAGATGATCAATGATAAATAGTATACTAGACAGGTTCTGTAGAAAGATAGACACAAGCAGACTGATCGAACATACTGGGACAGATAAGACCACAATCATCACAGACCCAAATGAAATTAAAACCAAAGTCAGAAACCACTTCAAGAAATGGACATGACATAGGAAGATAGCAAATATGCACAACTATCCAAACTGGCTCAACAGATATGTACCAATTGAATACATCAACCCAGAATAGTATGATAGTGTACAACCAGGATCGATACTCAAGAAATCAAAGAAACAATCCAAGCAAAAACAAATACAGTGCACCAGGATTCACAAAAATAACATATATCGTATTAAGGAATCTAGGGCCCAAGGGTCTCCAGCTTTTAGAAACAATTTACAATGAGATTATAGAAACAGGAAAAGTTCCAAAAGATTGAAAACAAGAAAAAATTTATCTAATCTCTAAACCTAAAGACTGGATGGGGAATATTAATATCATGTGACCAATTACCCTCCTAGAGACAACAAGGAAAGTTTTCATGTCCATACTTAACAATAGAATAGCAGCAACACTGAATCAACACCACATAATATCAAGGAACAACTGGGCAGGACTTCCAGGTAGTAGCACACAACAGCCAATACACATAATGAATAATCTCCTGGAAGAAGCTAGAGAAGCAGGGAAAAAGGCATGGATCTTTAGCCAAGATATAAGCAAGACATACAACTCAATTAATAAAGATAAGATGACATTGTTACTAAAGCGAATCAAACTTCCTGAAAAAATTATCAACATCCTAGAAGACACCCTAATGGATAGATACAATAGAATTATTATAGCACATGGGTATACAGAAAAATATCAAGTCCAAGATGGAATTGATCAAGGAGATACTATATCTCTACTCTTGTGGAGGATCTTCTATGATCCTCTGATACAAGAAATAGAGGACAAAAAGACGGGTTATATAATGAAAGTAACATGGAGCTCCAACCTTGCAATGAACAATAACAACAGAACATCTCAACACTCTAGATCACAAATGATCACAGCAACAGCATATATGAATTATACTATCTGGTATACCCAAACAGATTCAACATGCAAAGTATCCTCGATACAGCATCAAAATTCATCTGCATCAATGACATACAGGCTAATAGAGACAAGTCATCACTTATCTGTATAAACGCAAGCAAAGATGACTGGGTATAAGGAGTCACACTAGTAGGAACCAAGGCTATACTCTTGAAAAAAATGAAATAGCTCGTATTCTAGAAGTCTGGATCTCAGTTGATGAAAAAAAGCAACACCAAAAACAACTTTTCTGGAAACAAATTGATAACACAATTAACCTCATTAAATGGAAAAGAATCATAGATAAACAGGCATGATACATAATTAATCATGTACTTTATCCAGCAGTTGAGTACCTTCTTAATGACATGGCTCTATCCGAACAGGAATGCTATCAACTTAATAGTAAGATAGTCAAAACTTTTAAACACAAAACCAACTTGCCCAGGACAGCCCCTAATACAATTATTTATATAGACTTTGAATACAAACTTTTTAACATGTGAGACAGACAAGTTATGTTGCATGGAAACAACTGGAAAAAAAGAATCAATGGATCAGACACATGTAGTAAAACAGCATGGATCAGATTGCAACAACTTCAGAATTAATACTGGTCAAATGCATCAATTCCAGAGGACAAATACCTATTCTGGATCAAAAAATGGCAAAATTTCATAAACAATATTCTTAACATACTCAAAGTTTAGGGTATCACCTTTTAGATGACAAACCACACAACAATCTGCACCATATCTAGTGGAGGGAAGACAGCTATCTAAGATATAACCTTAAGCAAATGGTATGACCAAAACAGACAAGCTCTGAGAAAAAGAGAAATTCTATTCAAGGAACAGCTCATGAATGATGACCTATCAAGACTCCTTACATGGAAAAAACTCAGGACAAGGAGAGAAAGACAAGGCAAGACTCCTGGATAGTTTCAAGATTTATGACAAATTATATGTATAGACCCAAACCAGAACTCTTATACAAACATAACTGAAACTTGTACTAGTGACACCAATAACAGCTTCTGCAGAAACACCCCAGTTCTCCTGCCACAAACACAAATAACAATCAAGTGAATAGCCACAGAATCAGATGATGAAATTGCAATCTACAGGAAAAGAAGAATGATAGATTCAGACAAAATCATAGCCAACCACATGATATCACTACCATCAACATTTCCTCTTTTCAAATGTAAAAAATGCCAAAAAAATAATCAATAATTGAGAAGTCAATACAAGGAACAAGGTCAATATATTGCAGAGCTAATAAGGGCAAGAACAGTAAATGTAACAGTAGATAAAAGCTCAAAACCAGCTGACCCTCAGGAAGACCAACTAACGGAAAAGCAACATATGACAAACAGGTCGCGCTCTACTCCCAAAGGAATCAAGAAAGCACTGCGGGAGAGAGAAGCAGAATCAACAACTCCAAGAACAATACCACAGATCCACATGGATCCACTCTTAGAAACAATATATCTAATATACAGTAGATTAATTGGATATCCAAGACTTATAGATCAGCTTTCAGCCATAGTAAAAGATCTGAGTGAACTAAATGATTTGCAGTTGTACACAGACGGCTCCTTTACCAGATATTCAGAAAGAAGCAGAATAGGACTAGGCTGGATAATAACCATCAAAGAAGTAGTAGAATTTCAAGCAAAGACATACAATACTCTTTTATCTACAAGAGCAGAACTAATGGCCATCATAACCACAATAAGTACCATTAGTACCAACAAAACAATCACAATCTTCACAGATAGTCAGGCAGCAATCAATATACTGGAAGAGCCTCCACTACAGAGGAGACACTACAGGAACACATATCAGCCAAATTAAATTTTCAATAGTACCATTAGAAATCTGATAAAAATGAAAAAACTTGCAATTATCTAGGCAAAAGTCAAAAGCCACACTGGTATCCTAGGCAATGAAAAGGCAGATCAGCTGGCCTCAACAAATCTAACAGACAAACCCAAATACACTATAACAATAAATATAAAAAATTCCACAATAACAAATATACTCATCAGATGGAACCAAAAACAATATGATATCGAAATCAAGTCCCTAACAAGACAAATTCTTAAAAACAAATAGGCAAGTAAATGGCAAACACTACAAAAAAACCAGGATTGGCTGAACCAGAAGAAATCTCAAGAAATCCACTGGCCTATGACTTTGGAGCTCCTAATGCCAACACCGATTACAGCAATATCAACTAATATGAAAGACCATATGGACTAATCATTTAGAATTAAAACAAGGATGGGAGAACTACCTATCATAGACAAACTAAACGAAAGCCATCCTGATATTTATCCCAATAATAAATGCAAAATTTGCAAACAGCACAGAGAAACAAATAACCATATCTTTCAATGTGGCATAATATCAACAAGACTTTAAGACGAGTTCATACATGCCTTGATAGAGGAAAGTGCAGCAAGAGCTGAAGATAAACAAATAGAACCAATCCAAAACAAATGAAAAAGAACACAAATAACACAGGAACACAAGGAAAGCAGTAATACAGGGCACCAAATCGAATAGAAGGATATTGTGAAAGAAGTTATAACATATGGTATAATACAAATAGCAGAGACCATAACAAAAGACAGATCTAGAGCACTAGAAGCAATTCGAGAAGTAACACACAAGTTCTGGCAAGCCAAACGAGAAGCCTGGAAACTTAGATGTGACATCACAATAGAATGGAAGAAAAGTCAAAATATAAACAAAAAACTTAAACATCAAAAGAAACAAGCCAACAGTAAAACAGACAAGCAACAAACTATATCACGAAGCCCAGACTCACCAATAATACAGGCTATTAAAAGCTTCAAGACTGACCCAGAACCAGAACAGATTTTAATAAATACTTAAAGGACAGGTTTGGGGAACTATATATAGAACTAACAAATATCATAATGGAAAAAATATTGAAAAATAGCTATTTTCCTTTTTTCTTCTTTTCTATCAATATTAGTACTAATGGAGTCTTGACATGCTAGCGCTCACCAAGATGAACTACAGCAAGTTACAAAGTTTCTAATAATAGAATACTGAGTTATAGTGTTTTTTTCCTTTTATAAATATATAGACTCACAATTAAATTTGTGTATATAAGCCTGTATTAATGAATAAATAAAAACTCAATGGCAAGACTTCGCCAGTTAAAAAAAAAAAAAAATTTTGTACAATAAAGGATATTAATAATTAAATAAAAACTATATGCCCTGATTTCACCAGTTTGAAAAAAAAAATTGAAAAACACTAGTCTTAGCCTCAACAGTACAAAATTAGTTTAGGTGGAGAGAACAATAAAACTCTGCTTTAAGTATAGTGCTCAAGATTATAAATTTACTATATGTCTTAACAATAAAGAAGATTTATTAAAAAAAGATAGAACAAATAAACTCAAACAATTAAAACTTACAATTTCAGCTCAAAAAAAATTTTTCTTTACTAGATTAAGTAATAGACCAAGTGGCAGCACCTTTACTCTAGAACAAACATATGCAAGCATCATTAAGGATATACAGCATCCACTAGTGGGAATGGAAAACATCATGGAAGCACTCAAACAATTTAAAACAGATATAATAGCTATTAAAAACCAAGTTCACATGTTAAATATAAGAGTAACAGCAATTGAGACAGGTCTTTACATCCAATCAAAGGATCAGCTATTATAGACTCTCTTATAGAACATGAAATATTATTAGAGAACTCAAACTTCAACTCTATCTTCAAAAAAAAAATAGATATCAGTAAATAATAAAAACTGATCAATAAGAGAATTAGCCAGATGGATCTATAATAGCTATAACTAT